TATTACATATACTTATTATTATTATCATTATTGATTGGTTAATTTTCTTGTCGATTATTATTCAGAGTGAAAGCCGTTGGGTAAGCGCTAGCGTATTGAAAAGGTGTAGTGCAATTTTCTAAACATGATAAGTATAATGCTCATTATAATAAAATTTTTAATAAATATGATGATTTTTTTTTTCTTCCAAAAGATCAATAACTAAAGAGAATTAAGACTGCTACTTACGACAGATTGGTATTTCAAGATGCACTGTTTTTCCTTGTCCAAATTTGTTCTTTGCAATACAACTGAAATTAAGATATCCATTCTCTGATGTAGTAATTGTGGCGTTACCATCAGAGGAATTGACCATTGTTTTGTTCCCTTGTTGGATGAAGTATTGCACTGATGGCGATGCGTCTGCCTTACATAATATTTTGAATGTTTTATTTGCTGTTGTACAGTTTATCTGCGATGTCAGCTCTGTATCTATCGGTTGATATTCTATATAACAACAATGGCAAGATACATATATAAAAATAATCAGACCAGAAAGGAAAATATAAATACGTCATTCAAATTTATCGTTTTATCTGCCTCTCTTGGTTCGCTTGGATCTTACTTGTATGCTCAGTACATTCAGCACAATCAGTACAAAGACAAACCGATATGTAAAGAGGCTGTACAAGGAATCATTTCATGCATAATCTTCCGCAGTCCCATTTCCTTTTGCAAAGACCCGATAATGGCMCTGAAAAAAAAATGGTTCCTGACCCAAAATTCAGCTAGCATTTAACACGGCATTCGACGTTACCCAACATTTGTAGCCAACATTTTAATCACAGTTAACACGTTACCTACTATATGTTTGATCTAACATTATAAAATAAATTAAATAGTACGCATGCTGTGATTGGTTGATAGCCATGTTTGCATGAGGGTATGTAAACACTGTTCTTACGTCACAACTTTCTTGTTTTCCCGGTACAAGTTAAAAAATTTACAATTTCTTTCGAGGAAAAAAAACGCCCCCAAAAATGTATTTTGAAGACGAAGTTCCAAATTTTGACTTGTGTCAGGGCCACAGGTAGTCAGGGGGTTGGGAGAATTCTCGACAGTCATGCAAACCCTCAACTACTTCTCGGGTTTGCATAACTGTCTCGAATTCTCCCAACCTCCCCTCGTGTTGCTATGTAAACACCGAAAAAAGTTTTCTATTGCTTAATTGTTRGCAGACCATGCAAAAAGATCAATCTAAGCATTTGACTCAACAAATGTTGGCTAGATGTTGGGACACATTTTAGGGCATATAACCAGGGCGTTTATCCCTTACCACTTGTAAACCCAGGTTATTTAAACTAGACTGAAAGGGTACGATCTTTACGTTTCGACCGGTCCAGTTTATTCTATCTTGCTCCCTGCTTACTATACTGATATGCTATGTCTTTGTCTATCTAACATATCTTGGTCTATCATTACCCGGCAACCGATGAACCGGATGAAAACGTTCAGCAAATCATCGATATCGTTCGGGTTGACAATAGAAATTCATGGCCTGGACTTTTTTCACCCCTTAAATCCGGTTTTCTTTAATGGTTGGTTGGTGGTTTGGTGCCTTGGGCGTACCATTGTACGAAAGAAAGAAAGAAAGGAAGAAAAAAGAAAGAAAATATGTTTTAAGTTAATKTAAAGTAGTTTACCTATTACTTCAATGGAAGTACAATTAATCTCATTCCCAAAACGGTTTGACACGTGACAGCAATACTCTCCTCCTGATTCTTTACCAGTGATGTTGAATGACGTCACGCTAAAATTAGCTATTGTTCTGTTCGTATCCTTGTGTATCCATGTAACACGAGGTGCTGGATTACCAGAGGCATTACATCTTAATGGAATTGAATCTCCTTGATTACCAGACAGGTGCGAGGTCAGATTGTTGATACGAGGTAAAGCTACAAAAATAAGAAAGATTAAATGTAAGATTTTGCTTTTGCTTATCAACTGGCTTAGGCTGCTTTTTAAAGTTGGACAATTTTTTCTCAATATCAGTATATTCTTGTGTGTAAAAAAAAAGAATTTCCATATCTTATTTACTTGACTTTTTTCAGTCTTTCTCGGGCTCAAAAAGACAAATAAATACAAGTTGGAGTAGTTTTTAGCTTAGATTTCGTATGCGTGTGAAAGGTCACGACACACGGCACGGTTACGGTGGAGCACGGCGCGAACCCGTCACGTGATTTTTAATGAACAAGGCTGACAAGGTCACGGCAAGGTGCGGTCCATGCTGTTTTTTTTTTTTGTTCAACGTCGTACGAAAACTGCTCTATGTATTTGGTACCTGGTCTCTGCTCTTTTCTAAAGTGCATAACCATTTTTTTTAGAACTTCCAGAATATTTATTTAGAAAATCAAGATATATCCAAGTACTAATTTGAAAATTGTATTAAAAAAAAGGTCATTTAACCATAGTTAATAGTTAGGAAACTCTATTGTTATAGGTTATTGCTCACTTTTTTTAAGCGTGACCGTGCACAATCCTTTGTTTTACCATTGTTTTACCATTGTTTTACCATTGTTGGCAATTGCTGAGTGAACAGAACAAAATCGTTCTTTTGGCTGCTAGTTCAAAATACTTTAAGATTTTTATGAGATATTTGAATATTCCTTACAACAATCCCATAGACAAAGTATATGTTTACTTATTTTGC